CTTGTGAGCTAGCAATGGTCTCACCAGCGTCAGTGGAAAAATGAATATTCAGCGGCTTAGACAAGCTTCATCCTCTGCTCCATCCCCCGCAACTGCCAAGTATCTACACCTTGACAATTTGTAGTACTTCAGGAATCTTGATATGTTGCCTGTAAAAATACTACACAAACGCTCCCCGCCTCGAGGTTGCGAGCGCCAGCTTTTGCTGGAAGTGACCTCGCGAAGTGACTTCCTGGGGGAACTTTTAGATTGTGGGACATAAAAAGAAGATAGAGTGGGACATGAAAAGAAGAAGGCACGATGAGAAGAGATATATTGTGGGAGAAGGGGGTCGTAAAATGGGACAGGTGGTGTTGTGCTGAACAACATGTTTTTCTCATTGCCATGATCTACACTCGAAAGAAGCTGTCTTTTTTTCAGATCTCGTTGTTGCGTGCGTGCTGTGTACCGTTGACTCTACTGGAGCTCGGCATACGGTCTAGTGTCATCGCTGCTACGACTGGTACTGGTACACAAGTTACCAACACAGTCACAGCAGCCGCAGGACACATCCTACCCCTGCCCAATAACACGTATCTGCTACCAAACGTGCAGCCACCATCGAATTGGTACGTTTTCCATGGGGATGTGCAAGACAATCGTCCGGTGAGAGCGCTGGTGGGAGGGAACCTATCGTTTCCTTGGACACACCAGGTGCTTTGATTAGGTCGCCACGCCACAGCGCCCGTGCGATTGTCTTGCTAAGCGCCAGTTTTTCACGTATCGTTTTTTAAAGTTAGATTGGACTGGAAGGATGTTATGATCATTTCAGCTTTCTAACACCGAATGCAATTCATGAGCTGCTCAAATGGACAGAACGTCATCTGAAACCGCTGCAATTGTCACCAAAGGAGCTTGTGCTGCTCAAAGCGCTCGTGGTGCTCAACATAGGTAAGTCAATATAAGCTCAAACTGTTCTCTGTTGTATAAGGCTCACCCGCGTACAGTCATGATCCCTGCAAAGTATTTGGGCTCGTGATACGGCGCGTATTGGCGAGCAACCAGAGCGGCCTTCTTTCAACAATGCCGTCATCTTGCGCCCGCTAAATTTGGTGGGAAATTTAATCTGACTGCGCTCAAGGCAATATCTCCGTCCTACGCCCTATCAGTTGCAGGGATTATGACTGGGCGCACCTTTTCTCGAATTCTGCGACGTTTTATTACTCGCTTTCCTATTATTGTAACAAAAAGCTGCTGCCTGGGAGCTTTTGACGCGCGTGCTCGCGTGCTTTTTGGCGAACTTGCAAGTAAATGCGCATTATACCTAAGAATTTCTCCACTATTATCTTTATTACTATTTTTTATTTTTTCAATCTTTATTACTATTTTCTCCGCTAGGTTTGTTTGTTTGTTTGTCCAGAAATGTTGTTGTATCTGAAGAGCAACCTGGAGACGTCGGATCACGGTCGGGATCAGTTGGGCATGGGACAGGTGTGGCCTACATGACCCGTGCTCAACCCCGCCCACAATGGGACGGCATGCACCGAAAGTGAGCGGCGTCGTGTCCAGAGAGGTGGAAGGGGTGAATGGATTCAGTGAAGGACTATCGGACCAAATCGTAGAGGCAGATGCAAAATGGGTGGGGCGTACTTGAGACGATCGGTG